CTTAGGGAGGGTCTGGGCTCCCGAGAGACCCGGCGGGGAGGCGGCTGCGGGGTTGCCGGGCAGCCGCTGAACCCCGGCGTTTATGTGGGGAGGGAGCGGGCGAGCAGCAACTGGTGGAGCCCGCAGCGAGTGCGGGTGTTCGCGTGGAAAGTGCCCCCGGGGGCAGCTGTGCTCTCACACCACGTAGCCCGGAGTGTCTGTGCCTTTGCCTCGCTCCGCTGTCCCCTCCGCAGCCTGGCCCCAGCCCGGGCCGCGGCCCCGGGGGGCGCCCGGGGTGGCCCAGCGCCGTCTCGGTCCTGAGCTGGGTTGGAGCCGAAACCCAGCGTTGCCTCATCCCGGCGGATCCGGTAGTACAGGCGGGGTTACGGGTTAGGGCCCCGGGCTGGTTGTGAACCGCTTGCTGGGTGGGATGGCACAAGTGGTATTCTGTGGCTCAGTTTCCCTTCATAAAGCAAGACTGACTTCCAAAGGAAAGAGTACTGATAACAAGGGAGAGTGCTACAGAGTTAGAACAAAGTGTTGCTTATTATCTTTGTAGTAAGTGGTATGAGTCAAATTACTTGTCTCTGAAGTGTTTGCCTTGTATTTATATACAGTTTATAGTGTAACTAACAGTAAGTATAAGCACTTGCTGTATCAGTATTATAATGTCAGTCATCTGGTAAAAATGCTACACCTGGAAGACGTTTCTTAAGTTCTGAAAGGTCTCACAGGTTCCTGAGATGTGCTGCATGTTAGGCACTGATGTCTCATGTTGATATTATTTCAGTTCTAAGTATCTGTGCAGCTTCAACGTGCAAGTTGGGGGGACTGCAGTGGAAATAAAATACTTTAATAAAAAAAGTAAAAAATAATTAAATGCAGTATAGTCTAGGGGGAAAAAATAAAACAAATTAAAAAGCTGTTAGTGGGAAGTGTTTCCATGCTACTCACCTTGGTGAAACTACCATGTCAAGTTTCATTTAATACACAGCTGTTAAATGGACAAACCATCTTGTTTCACCTTTCTCTACCACTGCTGGATTACATACCTTACTTCTTTGTTCACAGGAAGTTCATGAAGTGGATCATGGTCTTACTAACCAGCAACTTTCTGATTCAGAGGAGACTCTTAATTCATGCACAGAGAAAATGCAGGGTCCTGCTCAGTATAGCTGGAGTGCTGACTGGAGCTTTTGGGTAATGTGTTCTAGCTCTCTCCTAACTTGGTTACTGGCTTACTAAAGTGTAAGGTGAGACTGAGAGGGGGTGAAGTTGTTTATCTGATGTCATGGATCAAGTTAGTGACAGAACTTGTGGCTTCTGTGCCCTGTCCTGTCTCCCACTTTCTGGCATGAACCCATCCAATATTTCTTATGCCTATAGAAAGACATTTTTGATACACTGGTGCTTTTTAAGCATAAGGGCTGAATTTTGGTTCTCAGTGGTGGTTGGTGGTTGTGGATTGCATTCCTAGTGTTCGTTTTTGTCAAGTAAACACATTTGTTTTCCACAAGAGTAAAAAAGCTTCCTGTGTTTTCTGTAAAAATTGAATTTCTGTATAAGAAAGGCAGAAAAGAAGTTATTTTTTTTTCTTTCTGGGGAAGTGCCTGACTGAAAGCAGAGTGTGTAATAATAAGTTCTTATTTCAGTACTTTCCTTTCAGTAGCTTTTTTAAAATGCCTTGAGAGAAGGTGAGTGTGTGTGTGTGTGTAGTGTGTGTGTGTGTGTAGACTTGGAGTGTATCTTCTGCTGTTAATTTGGTGCATGGATTGTTATTGTTTGATAGGGAAGGAGACCACCTGTGCATGGAGCCACAGGCACCAGCTGATCTTGTGGGAGACAGAGAGTGCCAGAGCTGTGAGGAAGGGAATCTGACTCAGGTTCTGTGTCAGGTGTCCTCAGTACATCCGTGTGCTTCAGCTCATAGGAGCATCATCCGGACTACTGTGTCCTTCTCCTGATGAGCTGTCACAGTGTTCCTTGTGCTCAGCAGGTGCAAGATTGAGTAACTAGTGAAGGCCAGAAGGAATCTGTGGCAGACCTGTGAGCAGAAGTGGGGGGATTAGATTTCCCAACTCCTTATTTATAAATCTAGCTTGTATGTTCTCATCACTCCTGTTCACAGGTAGGTGTCCCAATGCTCAGGACATCTGTTTTGCACCTTAGGCCATAGGATAAATCCCCTCCAAATGCATGTGTGTACTCTTCAATGGAGCAGTAGTAATGTAGAGCCAGTGGAAATGGGACAGGCCTAATAAAACCCCAGCAGGTCATAGACTTGTGTTGCTAGAGTGAGTTCTTGGGGTGTTCAGTATTTTCTTCACTATCCCTGCTGAGACAAGGATGGTCGAGGACTGTTCTGTCTGTGCCCAGCTGTGTCTCTGTACCTGAGTGGATGGGAAGTCATGCTGTGCAGACATTGTAACTGCCAGCTATGCTCTTGTTAGGTGGCAAATTAGATTGTGTAAACTAATGCTTGCTGGTTTGTGTACAACCACTAATTCAGGTGGTATTTTGTGTGAGGAATAAACCTGTTCAGGTCTCGGTGTCAGGTTATTGGACCTGCTGTTAACAACTCAGTGTTTCCTTGATAGGCCTGGCGATGGAAAATGAAGTCATTAATGTACTCTACATGGAGAATGTAGCTGTGCTATTGGTTTTGCACTCTTAGGTTTCAGACACATACTGAAGGCTTGAAGTTTCTTTGACCAGAACTTTGAGCCTGCACAGTGCAGGATTTTGTGTCCTCACTGTGCCACTTTCTGCTCCCTGTAGTAATGTGTGCGTGTAACTTCAGGGGAGTGGGATTCTTCAGTGCAGTGGCAGCTGCTGTGTGAGGTCTTTTTCCAGTATGATTAAATGATTATTTTCTCTCTGATTTATGCTTCAAGACCTTAGTATGTGTTTGATGTTGGTGTTTGTCTGGTTCTGCAAACATGACCTTGCACTTAAAATAAAGTAACTGTGTAAATACTTCCCTTTTGTAAGATAACGCTGTGTCTGGAAATGTTCTAGTCTTACTGTCACTGATTAGTTTTAAAAGCCTGTACCAGTCTGGTTGTAGGAAGCCACGGTGCTTATTTTCTCAGCCTCAAGGCAACTGAATTGTAAAGCAGCAAGAACCAGGAAGTCACAAATTTGAGAAGAAAATTATGATTTTTTTATTTTTTTATTTTTTTTTGTTATATCATTGGCATCTCTTCTTGCTCTTGTTGACAGAAGATGTTTCAATAAGTTGCACGTTGATGATCAGCTGTTGACTATTAAAAACAAATCGTTATAACTCCCTAAATTCTGAGTCATAGTAAATGTGCAGGCGATAGCAAGAAAGGCAGCTTGTTGCAGTGTGTGAAGCATGTGTCACTAACATTTGACAAAGATCATCTT